GAAAGAAAGAAAGAAAGAAAGAAAGAAAGAAAGAAAGAAAGAAAGAAAGAAAGAAAGAAAGAAAGAAAGAAAGAAAGAAAGAAAGAAACCCACACGTTAAAAAAACCTTGAAGAATATAAGAGTACTTTTTTGTTTTTTTAAATTGATGAATTTCCGTCTGCAGAGCTGTGGTGGCTCTTCATGGCTAGACTAGAAACACGTAAAAGGTGATAGCAGTTTGCCAAGGCCAAAACTATTCAAGGGAAGGTGCCAGCAAACAGCAAGTGGTCACATGCCATTGCCTTGGCCTTTGTCCTCATGCCACAGAGTTTACAAGTCTTGTTGAAAGTCAGAGAGACTAGCAGTGAATGGTTCCCTTCCTCCCAGAGAAAGGGGGCAAGAGGCCCAAAACATTGGTTAAACCACCCCAAATACCCTGCCAACCTTTTAGAAGCAGGAGGGACTGTGTAGAGAGAGAAAGAAGCAGGCAGGGGGCTGAACACACCACATGTCCTCTCACTGATCTTTGAGAAGAGCACGATACTTTCTGCAGGCAATAGCTGGGCCCAGGCAGATGCTTTTGGTAGTGGGAAGCAAAGGAAAACTCACACATCACACATCTGTTCCAGGAGAAACTTCCTGTAGGAAAAAGAGAGGCTCTCCTCAGAGAGCTGCTCTTCTGTGCTTCCCGGGAGCAATGTAGCTCTAGCTGCATGTTTGTAAAAGGTGAAAGATACTATCCGTCTTCTGGGTTTGGTGGCTCCACACCATTCCTGTCAGTCCATTTCTAAAGCTATTTTTCAGAAACTATTGTAAACTCTATTACTCCAAAGCCCTTGAAGATTCTAATATTTGCTTTTTTACAAAGAACAGCATTACACTAGCATGTTTTGTGTAATTGGGGATGTCTTCCAGGTGTAAGAGGTGATCCAGGCTTCCCAGGTGTTTCTGGATTCCCAGGAGACCGAGGAGATGAGGGTGATCGTGGATTGCCTGGTCTTCCTGGATTTTCTGATGGTAATACCCCAGCAATACATGTTTAACAGCTTAAGTTTATAGGGAGTTTTGACTGATACAGGGTCACAGTGGGGAAAATTTTTATGCTGATCATGTGATATACAGTGAAGAGTAGTATATAATGGGGGCAAAGAACAAGAGGAACATTTTCCTTTGGACAAATGGGACTCTTGCAAAACTAGTGAAATAGAGATGATGGCAGAGCCTTATTTCTGTAACTGCTATTGATTTGCTCAAGTGAAAAGTGCAGTTACCATTTTTGCTCCATGCTAAAGATGTCAATTTTTCCTTGCATGATAGATGCAATTGTATGAACTTTCTCTTCTGTTACATCACAGCTTTTTGGGCAGCACTGTTAAGATATTGTTCTGAACTTCCTCTCTGGTTCTGTTTCAGCGGATGGGGATAAGCCAGGCTTACCTGGAGAAATGGGACCAAAAGGTGAAAAGGGTGAAATAGGATCTCCTGCTTATTTTCCGGGACCGCCTGGGCTTCCTGGTAAGGATGGCTCGCCAGGAATTCGTGGTCCACCTGGTCCTGCTGGAGCCCCTGGTAAGTGCAAAAACAGAGATGGTGAGAACCCACAGGAACATCTTGGGTTATTTTAAAGACAGCTGTTGGCAGGGCAAAGTGAGACATTGACTGAAATGAAATGAAATGAAATGAAATGAAATGAAATGAAATTAAATTAAATTAAATTAAATTAAATTAAATTAAATTAAATTAAATTAAATTAAATTAAATTGAAATTAAATGAGAGGTGGAGAGGACACACAGAGAAGTCATGTACACTCATCAGTGAAGAAAATGTTTGCATGATTTTTAGACAGTCCTGGCAACATTTGAAAGAATGAAGAAAAGGATGTTGAGGAGGTGATCCAGAGCAGTACTAATGCAGAGTAGATTGGGCTGAGAGGAGGAATTCAGTGTTAGAGAGAGCAAAGAATGGCAAGGATTGTCTGCCACAGCAGATGGAAGTTACTGAAGATGAGTGTGAGAAGCTGTCAGAAGACGGAGAGAGGAAGAGAGAAGGGAGTACATCACAGCAGGCTGGGTTAGACAGTAAGTGACATTAGGGGAAATAGGGGGAAATGCATTGCAGCTCAAAGAAATAGGAATGAAAGGAAAAAAAATATATCTACAGTAGATTAATTTATATTTTTATTTAATTAAACTTCTAGGTCCTCTCTTTGGATTAAAAGGACGAGAGGGAACACCAGGTAGATTTGGTACACAAGGTTTCCCTGGGCCAAGAGGACAAAAAGGACCTAAAGGTAGGTTATAACAGATAACTCAATAGATGATCTGCTGTTATGCGTTATGTAAAAGCCAAGTGTGTTCAGTCGGAGTTTATTGAACTATAATGTGCATGAGGATTGATGAATATGATCTGGGGCTAACATGACAAAGAAACGCTGTGTTGGATTCTTGTCAGAAAAAAAATCGTTTTCTCAAGTATTTGAGAAACTAATCAAATATTCTCAAGTCTATATATATATAAGATGGATACAGCTGCACATCCATTTGTTGTTGATAGAGCTTTCTTTCTTCTCATTCCAATCTTTAGGTGAAGAAGGGGATTGCACGACATGCCTTTTGACTGAGGAACTCAGAAGGGGCCCTACTGGTCCCCGTGGCCCTCCTGGCTTTCCAGGAACCTCTGGCCAGCCTGGAAGGAAAGGAGAACCTGGTGATCAAGGACAACATGGTCTTCCTGGCTTCCCTGGAGCAAAAGTGAGATAGTTGTTTCTTTATTGCTTAGTTTTATATGCCTCAAGCTATTCTCCATTGAAAAATGGTGATTAGTATGATTTTTTCTCTTTCTTTCTTTCTTTCTTTCTTTCTTTCTTTCTTTCTTTCTTTCTTTCTTTCTTTCTTTCTTTCTTTCTTTCTTTCTTTCTTTC